AAATCAAGATGGGGATGTGTAGTGAAAGGGGAAAGCAGCTGTTGAGAACAGATTTGTAGGAAGCATGGGGCAGAACAAGAGGAAGATTATGCTCTTTAGACATCCTGTCGGTAATGGTTCGGGTGGGTTTTTACATTTACCGGTTAAGCTTATACACTATAAAATCCCTATGGAATCTCGTTTATACAATTATATTATGCAATACAGTCTTGTTCAAAATGCCTTTTTGTCTCGGCTGCTGAAGTTATTAAATTAAATAATTATATATTGAACAATATATGGGGGAAAAAAATGTAAAAATAGCATATACAGCTTTTTTATTGCTCGTACTGTATAGTGCAGGGGTGCTCATTACGTTGTGAAATTTAAACATTACCAGCCGATCATCGATCCCGTCACAGTTCAGTAAAGTTAGCTGCAGATTTACGGATTCGGTTTTCTCTGCTCAATAGCTCGAGACCAGAATGTTCTTAGTAAACAAATAACACATATTTTTAATCTGTGTTATGTAGCGGACAAACTACAAAACGTTTTTTATCAAAACAAGTTTCCCTCGGCATTCACAGAAACACATTACTGTCTATGAGCAACCCGCTGACATGGAATCGCTTAGGGACCGTCTGAAAATGACCAGATCCAAAATATGTTTTACCCAGAATATGCTTCATCACTTCATTCTAAATTGCTCTATTACAACCAAAATCAAGCAACACGCCACTCCTCACCAGCATATTGTACTGCACAACTCAGTTTCAATAAATATTGAAATATTTATTAGAGCATCATTTTTATTCTTGATTATTTGGATCAAAGCTCAATTGCTCCCATAAAAATCACTCTATTACCATCAATTCAGGTCACACACAACTGTTCTAATGATTCAATTCAGTGCAAGTCATCAAATTAAACTCACGTTATTACAAAAAATGTAAATAATTTATTATTATGTGTGTTTTGTCAATTCTCAATAAACATGAAAATAATTGTTTATTGATTGATGTTTTACATTTTTGTAGCCGGTAGATCACTTTGACTCTGCCATTTTAAAAGTAGCTCGCAAGCTGAAAGAGAGTGAGCAACCCTGGTATAGTGCATACTGAATAGTACACATGCTGATAAAAATGACAGAACTCATATAACATATTGATGCATACTTACCTGTTATTGCTCTATTATAGTTTCTTATCTGAGTGTTAACACCTGACTGTGTATTGCTTAAGGTGCATTTAATTATGTTTCAGTTGTGAGAGGTTTTCTATTCAATGTTTCTGGTTTTCTTTAATGATAGAAAAGAGCCGCAATGTTAAAGTGTATTGGTAAATGTAATTCATACTGTACTTAACTAACTTTTTAAAGTATCTGTACTTTAATCAAGTATTTTAAATTGGGGAGACTTTTTACTTTAACCTCACTACATTTCAATTAAATATCTTACTTTTACTCAGAAATCAGTCGTTCCTTTTTTTTAAAGAGTGGATAAAAAAACATAATTGGTCAAGCTACCAATCAGGGTACTGCTCAGGTTTTGAAATGTTGACAGTATCTACTTAAAACAAATGCAGGTCCATGTCAGTTCAACAGCAGATGATGGAAGAAACTCCCGAAATTAGTTTCTGTTACGGTAATCTGATAAGACCAGGTAATATTTACACACAGACATTTAGGTAAAAAACTTGTCAACTTGTGTTTAATAGTTTAGACGTTAATTTTTTTACATTTATTTTTTTTTATTGAACTTGAGCCTTAAATTGAAAAGGCGTATTATTTAATGTGGTTCTAAATGAAATTGTGTCAAAGTCTTGACAAAAAAGTTATAATGGTACATTATAGCCATGATATTCTATATTATACATTTTTATACATAATATAAAATTCTGAAGGGAACACTTTTACTGGAGTAATATTTTACCTAGGGTTTGTGGGGTTGGTTTGTGTATTTGTCCAGCACTGGGAGTTGAACAAGTGTCATGACTAATACAATTTCTGACAGTGGCCATGCAATCAAAAGAAATGGTTTTAAGACTCAAGTTCAAAACTGGAATTGAGTGAAAGTACAAAGTGAGGCGGCACGATGGCCCAGTGGGTAGCACTGTGGACTTCCAGCCGGTTTGAGGCTCAGCGGTAACTTTCCTCGAAGGAAGAAAGCATGTTCCATGTTCGCCCAGTGCATGCATTTCCTCTGGGTACTCTGGTACTAAAACATGCTTAAGTTGAATGAAAGGATGGAACTGCAAAGAAGTTTACTAAAGTAAAGAATTAAAGTACCTTGTTTTTTTGTACTTATGTTCTTATAAATTTGTCTATTTTTAATATAATTAAAGGGCGATAAGTTGGCACAGTGGGTATCCACTTTGGGTGTCCATCCAAGTTAGAAGGTTGTCGGTTCGAGGTTCGCCGATGATGTTCCTGGAAGGAGTTTGCATGTTCTCCACGTGCTCCGGGTACTCCGGTTCTCCCCACAATCCAAAAAACATACATAAGGTTAATTTATTGATCCTTAGGTGTGAACGAGGAACAAACAACTAATGAAAAAATATGAGTAGCCTACTAACAAATCTCTAAACTGGTGTATTTTATTTTTCTCAGCAAGAACAAACAACACTAAAATGCATAATATCTATCATGTTAACATTCAACCGTGTCTCTAAGACAGCAATGCTAATGACTTCTGTACTTCCTTTTTCCTGTTTTGTACCTCAAGACTTTACAGCTATGCTCCCCATAATTTTTCCCTCTCTGAGTTAATGTACAAGGTTAAGGCGATAGATAAGGGGCTGTTTAAAGCCTGAGCGCCTGTCTGACTGACAGACTGAGGTGGTGTAGTGGAAGAGATTAGCAATGTGTTGCTTGCATAGCTTCATCCTCCTAACTGTCCTTCACAGAGTAATGCAATCGCCAGGTCTAGACACTTATCTCTGTATAATTGAAGAAGTGTAAAACAAGATGGACAAAACCCTACCTCTGTAGTTTCAGCCTGCACTCTCAATGCTGTTTTAATGAGTCACACTCTCTCCAGGTTCAGTAAATGTTTGCTTTGGGAACAGAAGCCTTTGTGGATACTGAAGCAAGATGTGTTTGAGCTTAATGTAAACATTACAGCAAATACCACGGTATAATGGTGTGGTGATAAAAACGCAGATCAGAAATGCTCCTAAATAAAAAAAAAAGAAAAAATAAGAGTTTCTTGTCCTTCAAGACTTTTTAAATTACAGTATGTATTTAAAAAAAAAATCTGAATTATATTTGTAACATACTCTATTTATTTGTATTTATTTTTCCATTTTTCTGTGATGATTATATCATAAAAAAGTATCCAGAGGTGGGCAATATCTGTTTTATTTCCTTTTTGTCTTATTTTTTTGAGCAGAATGAATAAATTAATTTTATATGGGTGCAAGAGACAGCCTAACAACCATTTTTTAAAACTCATAAATAAAATAAAAATTAAGAATAATATTTAAATTTGAGTTATTTTAATTGTTTCCAAGCAACTAAATACTAAAAAGCAATAAATGCTCATTCCAGGTTGCCAAACCTCATCTTCTGAGGATTCTAGCTCATATATGTTTTCAGGTACTTTGGTAAATATATTTTCACTATCTAGATATCACTAGAACTACAGCATCTGTGTTACTGCAACAAAGTTTCCTGGGAATAATCACCTAGAAAATTCCAAGTTTTCCTGCTCAAAATGTAACAATCTGGAACTATAGAAAAGTCTTTGATCACTTAAAAATCAAAACTCTTTTATCACTTTGAATAAGGAACTCTTTCAGGTCTAATCAGATTCTACAAGTGATGCTAAGCTAAGCTTAAGGTGCTATCGCCAGACTCAGAGAATGATTTGTCCAAAAAACTCAATTTAAAGAGTTTAGATGTAAAACGTTACAATTATTGGCATCATGCACAGTTGATTGTGATAGTATAGCCCTGTCTTTTTATAATATTCATAGCAGCTGTACTCGATGACTTTGAGTTTCGTGCCCTGGCAGAAAACATTGGCAAAAATAGCATCGCATTTCAAGTGAAACTTTCATGAGGAGACAAGAATTTATACTTCAATATCACCTTCACTGGCTCTGCCAGGCACAGGGGAGTAAAGCTAGGAACGTTATTGTACTCCAGAGCTCCACAGAGATCAAGTCTCTTCTCAAATATTTATAGGCCGTCACTGGCACACAGCTGTTGTCCCTGGTACTGGCCGAGCACATGCTAACTGGCCAACGGTCAACGAAAGTCCGCTTGTCAATCTCTAATGACTGCAATCTCTTAGTGCTGTCATTACAATTCAAACAAAGCAGCAACATCCCAGTTCCCCTCTGGATGCAGCCAGTTACATAAAACACAAACAATGGCAAAATATGCAAGATTATAGATTCTTTTAAGGTATATAATTGTATAATACTCTACTTGTATACTACTTTAAGTTCCCTGTATTGTGCTGTGTGAAACACTGAAACAGTGAAAAATTATTTTAATGCAAGGGGAGAATGCAGAGAGGTTCTATATAAAATTAAAAAAATGGTGTTTCAGCTTTCAAAATGACACTATATATTTATTTATGCATCTCTTTGGGCCTCTGGTGTTGAGTGTTTTTCAACTGAGCCTTCAACTGAGTATAATTATATATATGTATTATATATATATATAAAAAATTATTAAAAACACAATGGGCCAATATTTCATACATATATATTGGCCCATTGTGTTTTTTAATCTGAAATGTCAACCTTTTCTAAATTTTATTATCAAATTACATTTTATTAAACCTAAACCTTTTCCTGCAATGCATGTGTTTCCCCAAGAGAGGATGCACTCCTAAGAAACAGACCTTTGTGTTGTTGTGATGTGTTACTCTGTACTTCACTTTTTCTCTTTGCACTTGAGTCCTTCAGTAAAGGTGAGCAGATGGAAGAAAACAAAAGTAGCAAGTAGCCATGTTTCCATTCAAAATGTGAATAAAATGTATTAATCAAACTGAAATATTGCAGAATATAAAGCTTTCCTGTGGCTCAGTTGGTGGAGCATTGTGCTGATAACACTAAGGTTGTGGGTCCAAATCCCAGGGAAAGAATCCCAAGAACAGACATTCGTTCAACTATAAGTCACTTTGAATAAAAGCATCTGCTAAATACATAAATATAAATGTGTAAAATTTGTGAATAAAGCACTGTTTTGATCCAATGAGTCCAAGAGAACAAAATTGTCACTTCTTGATAAAGTGGCACCAAATATCAAAAGACAAATGGAAGCCTTTATTCCCATATAATAATTTACTTGCTCACAAAGACGAAACGCAATATGCGCGGTCATGTCATCTTGCTTTCGGAGGCGGGAGGTGGCTCTTTGGGTACGCAGCCAGACAAGACAAATCCGGGAGGTGATAATTCTAAACCACTTTGATGACTTTGGCTAAAAAATTTAGAATGACTAAAACAGTTCAAATGTTGTGTAATAAATTCGGTCTGTTAGTTAGTCCATTAATGCCCCCCCAATCGCACCCCAGTTCTGACAGAAAAACGCATTGCCATTACATTGTTTTGGAATTTATTCTGTAAATGCATTTCCATCGTCGTTCATGCACATTTTTTTTGCATTAGATAAAAAGTTTACCCTACTTAGTTGTGTGTATAATGAGGCCAAAATTTATGCACGTCTTTCCATTAAAGGTTGTTTTATGCAGTATTCCAAAATGCACGCAAAAACAGGAAAACTAGTACTTTTCACTAAAGTCTGATCAATGGCTACATGTCTGATTTTTTCGAATACATCAGCCAACAGTTTTGCTGCAAAACATGCTAACTATGCAAGTAGACAGTCTCCACAAAAGTGGACCGCTACGACTTAGGACAACATTCTTTTCGCTGCCATTTATTTTAGCAAAAGCTACTATGTCTTTCTCTGAAGGCATTTTAAAAAGAATACATGGTTGAAAGCAGAGCAGGCCTCTTTATAGAGAGAGAGCAAAAGCAAGTTTGAAAAAATCAGCTCATCACGCAGAACTGTGACTCGCCGTGTGGAATTTATTATTGAAGTTATATCCTGCATAACTTTTATAATGTATAAAAAAAATAAACATTATTTGATGTGTAGCAAATTTTACAAGAGCCAACCTTTCTTCTTCTTGGAATTTTGTTCATTTTATGGATTAATATAAAACAATTTTTTTGTATATAGTAATGATCTAGAGAAAAGGGGCTGTAAATTAGCAGGCTGGTTAAATGGGCAAACCCAGGACACATTTCTTTGGGATTTTCCAGGGTTCCTTTTTGAAAGCTGCTCATGACTCAGTTGTCAGATGATGTGATGTAATACTGCGATGAAACATTTTTCACTAACACACAGTACAGACTCTCATATGAGATGGCTGCTGCAGAAATGATGAGGCACTCTGACCTTGGCAAGCTCATTTTCCTCAGGTCACACACATCTCAGCCAAATGCTTTTCATCACTTGTATCAGTGGATATCCGACACGCAGGGATTAAAGCTTTAGCATTTCAGCTCACCAACTGGTGCTTTTGTAAGGGATTGACGTAGAGACTAATTGTGCTTGCATTTAGATTTTTAGTGGAATCACTATTTCTCAATAAGGAAAACATTCAATTGAGAAATGTATTAATGTGACAATAATCATTTATTCAAGAAATCCCACAAATTTGTTTTTGTGAAAGAACAATGCATTGAATCCAACCATCCATCCATCCATCCATCCATCCATCCATCCATCTTATTCCGCTTATCTGGGTTCCTAACTGCCATACAATATTGTGGAGACGTTTCAACTAAGACAGTTCCCATAACAACAAGGGACTTGACAAATTCAGGGTAGATCTCACCAACTACGTTGGTGACTTCATCCAGGGTGATAGAAGCCCTCAGTCTCTGCATTCTCTGTGGCATGTAAGAGAGATTCCTTCCACCGTCCGAAGATGTCCCGAAGTCTAGGTCAACATCTGTCCTCCTATACATCCATCCTATACTTCAGCCTTTTGAAGTGGTGGATGGTTTGCCAGAATCTCTTCGAGGCCATTCGCTAATCATTCTCCATGGCCTCGTGTAACTCCTTCCAATGTTTACCATGGAAATATATCACGACCAGTTAGTCACCAGTTGACGACTCTCTCAGATTCTATCTTTGGTTGTTTGTACTGCGGCTGTCACAAGCCCCAATTTTCCTGAGATTTTGGAGTTTTGGGGTTAGGGCTAGCACAGTTTAAGTTCAACAGCATTGAACAGGGTTGGAACTAAACTGTGCAGTTTTCCAGCTCTCCAGAAATGAATTTAAACATTACATTGCAAATAACTGAGCATTTCTTTTTGAATGTTAGTTTTCTGTTTTGGGCTAGTTTCTCTCTCATTAGATTCCACTTGTTAACCTCATTTGATGTACACCTCTTATTGTAGCACACTGACTGTTTTTGACTGTTGTTAACCCCATTCTCCTTGTTTCTTTGCAGATTAGCCATTACATTGCAGGCTACCTCTGTTGTCAGAGCTGACCTGCCCTGTCTCATTCTGTCCTGTGTTGTCAGTCTCATCTCATCTGAAGTTCTCGCTGTTATGCATTTTTGACTTCCTAGATGAGTCTCTTGTTCTCAGCTCTTGGGAATTTTCAAAGAGAAGGTCCCAGACCAGTGGACAGATCCTTCGGATGTTCTTGCTTTGAAGTTCCTTCATTTATTGTTGCACCAAATTTAGCATTTAAGAAAAAAAAGCTAATTTTAGCACTAAAATCATTGGCCTACAACCAACTGTGAGTTATAATAAGTGCTGAGTAATTAAATATTAATGATATAAGTAATATTAGTAAATAACCAAACACTAGCCATTTTCCAATTTCTACTCCATGCCCCAACCAGCAAGATGTATTATTACTTCCAATTCCAGTTCCAAAACTAATCATTATGATCATATTAGTCCAATTCTATCAACATAGTAATTATAAATATTACTATGATTATAAATCCATTTATTTTACATGTGTGTTCCTGACCAGTCCATTTTAAGGTTATTTGCCATGCACTTGCAAATTCTTGGTATTTAAGTTTTTTCAATATACGCAAAGCATAAATTTTTCAATATACGCAATTTTCTGCTTTTCAATTAACGCAAAGCAGAAACACAAGGTGAAGATCTCAAACCAGCCATCATCTTGCTGAGAGTTAGTGCTGTTGCCTACCCACAATACATTCAGAGTGTTACTTCCACTAGATCTGGGATAGGGCTTTAATTGCCATAGCCTTTCCAGCCCAATATGTCCTGAGAACACTGATCATTTGAAAATATTGGTAGTAAATATTCTCTTATGTAGAAGACACTCATTCATTATCATTCGACTGCAGACATGTTCTGTCATCATAAATATAGATTAGGAACTGAAGACCAAAAGTCTATCATGAAGAGAAATTGAGATTTAATGCAATGAAATACTTAGGTGTTATTGATTGAAAATAAATTGTTATGTTGCTTCTTATTCATCTATAGCTGCCAACATACATTTGTGGCCTCAAACAGATGTTCTGTTCTGTTTACCAGAGCAAGGGTCATGATTATGCAATGACCATACAGTACATGAGCATTTGAGACATCCACATGGTGAGTTGTTACACATGTATTAAACACATTTGATCCTGTCACTGGTTTGGCTAAGCTCTTCTTATTGCACTGGATTGAAAAGGGCAGAGGTCTTTTAAAAGCAAAGCACGCAGTGTGATAGGCTAGAGGACATAATTCAATCCCATAGAGGGAGAGGTGCTTGTACTCTTTGAAAGCCGCTGGATTCATCATGTCATTTTAGGTGTCTGTTCATAATTTCATTTCTGACCCCTTTCATGTAAGAAATGACCTACAAATCCTCTCTTTCCCATTATGGCAGAATGGCACTCTGCAGTCATCAGTCAAAGTCGTGCTTCCAAGCAATGACCATATGCATCTTGGTTAACACAATAATCGAAAGGATTTCAGCCTCAATGCACAGATATTGTTACACAAAACAGAGGTATTTAGAAAATATGGAGTCATCATCACAGTTATATATGAAATGCTTACTATTTTAAAACAAATAAAGTCATCACGTGAAAGTGTAGCCTGATTATTTGAGAAAACTAGCGTTGGTTACTAGCGTTGAAAGAGGGAACCCCTGAAGGAGGGAACATAGACATATGTCAAAGGCCTCGACGTATGGGAATGATTGACCTTAGGAGGACGAACAGAAAACAGTATATAACAGGCAAATTAATTTGGAGCTGAACCTTCTTACCTCTCGGCACCCCGAATCCGGACCCTAGTTCTGTAGAGGTCAGGCCATCAGGCAGTGCAGTCTGTTCTAACAAGTATGCATTTGTTTTTCATCTGGTTTACATTATTATCAATCTGAATCTGAGAAAAACTGAGTTGGGTCACAATCGAATCATAGTGTAAACAATGGCGGATTAAGAATAACCTTTAATGGTTGCAATGTTGGGAAGGAAATTTAAAGCAATGTGATAAAAATATGCTACATATATTTAACATACATAGAATGACAAATGGAACGACAAAAAATGGAAGAGATTTCTGTTCCCCTCTTTCAAGATTTTAAAATGTAGTCAAAATGGACAATATTATAAAAACTCCCATTTAAGGATGGCAAACATTAACACAACTTAAACTTCTCCAAATACTCTGCAGTAGAACACGGTTGCAGTCTCTCAGATGGTGTTATCGAAAATACTTTATCCTTCTAATATTGAAGACTCGTGAGGCAGGAAGTTTATTCATGCATTGATAGGATGGTGCAGAAAAGTCTTTCACCTCAAGCCCCTGAAGGACACATGAAAGTCATTGTCTCGGATGAGCTCCGCTCCCTAGGGTCAGTCCAGAGAGAGAGAGAGGGAGCAAGAAGCAGACAGGTACATTTTAGAAACCTTCTAATACACAGAAAGTGTGTCACCTCATGAGTCACAGTGATGCTCTAGCATGTATTAAACATAACTGACTTATTACATTATTAAGTATCATCGTCGATATTAAAATTATTTTCAATGCTTACAATCACAATGGTCTCTCTATCTGGCACACAGATTTTTTACT